GCTTTCACTTGTTATATATGTACCTGTGTGTATACCAAGTATATATCTGTAGCGAAAGAGTAAGTGGATAAGTGGGGGAGGAAAGCTGGTTCGGGTCCGGGTCTTCCACGTTATTGCATAGAACACTCTCACTCAAACACATGTACTTGTCCATCCCTCTTGTCCCATGCCTGAGAAGGCACAGCCAGAGTATGTCCACATGTACCCCAGACTTTCCCCTCTTCTTGATGGAACCTAACCTAACCAAATCCCACCTTCTTGCTGGAGTCCAAGTAACAAGTACATACCGTTTTCAAGTGGTAGTAGCTGCAAATCCAATACATCATCCCGGAGGCAGCCGGGATCAGGCGCGCAGCTCAGAAGCGGGGAGGATCGAGATCTGCTGGTTATTAATATGTGAAAAGATTGAAATTGTCGGGCCAACCAGACCAGCCTTGCCACTAACAAGTAAATCATCAATCAATTCAGTACTGGCTCTTTAGGAAAGAAGGGAAGGATATGGAACAAGATGAAATTCAGAAATGTACCCAGTCAAACGAATGATCGATTACCTTGGGACCCCCGGACCACTAGGCCATTAGCCTCACCGGCCTCAGCCCGTCATCGTTGGATCCTCGGAGCTCGGAGACTTCTTTCGCACGCACACGGAACATATGCTTTGGCAGAGGACCGCTCCGGATTCCGCGGGAGAGACCCTGCGTGATCTAGCAGAACAATTCGCTGGCTAGAACGTAGGAGATTTGTGCTCATGGTGAACTCGGAGGAAATTCAGTTGTCAGATCCCGAGAAAAGAAAGCAACCAGACGAAGGGGACCAACTTGTGCGGTAGCGTTTGCGGCTGCGGTTGCGGTAAGGCGAATCCGGAAACGCTGTTATCGCCATGCCAGCCTTCCCCTGGTCTCGTTTACCCCCTCTCTTCCGCTGTCATGTTATGTCATGTCGAATGATGCCGGGGCACAGAGTTCCCCTAGACCAGACCTCCGGTCACGGGAAAGGCATAGCAGGGCATGGCAGGCGCGTCGATTGGCAGAGAGACACAGGCAAGGTGCGGTGATGACCACAGAGCCATATGGAACTCTGGAGTCGTAGTCAGAAGTGCGTAAGATTGGGGAAAAAGCCCGAAAGGGGAACAGGGGGTCAACCACTGCACCACACCATCTGCCTCTGAATGTTGTCTGTCCGTGCGTGTGGGTGTGAGTTCTGTGGAGAACGGGCAGAGCGGGACTGAAATATCATCATCATCGCCATCATCATCATCAGTATCATCTCATCGCTCTTTTTCTGCTCGCGTGCTTTTTTCGAAGAGAGAAACAGAGAACAGAAAAGGAAGACATCCACCGCTGTGATCCGTTCACATTTTCGTTCCCACATTTCCTTCCCCCTTCTTCGTCATTGAACGAATACCAATCAATTGATCCATCCAACTCATTGCAGGCAAACAAGCCAGCAATTGGAAATCTCTCAGCCTTACCCCGAGATACACTCGCATGCTTACATACCTCCTACACCCTTAGCCCGCATATATACAACCACAAACCGCCCACCTTCCACAAAGAATAACATCTTTGACTCCAAAGGAAAGAGGTGGACATAGCATCTAAGTCTAGCTAACAGCTACACTACTATACTACTATACTACTACACTTCTATTTTCAAAATTACCAAACACGCCTCGTTGGGAAGTTGACCACCAGACAGAGACCATCAACCACCGGCGGTCTCCGTCCACCCAATGCCTGTCTTGATCACCTACGCAACGTGTCACGGCTCGACGCGAGAGGTCGCCGAGCGGATCGCCTCACGCCTCCACGCTGACGGCTTTGCCGTCGACTGTCGGTCCGTCGACCATGTGTACAGCGTCGAGAACTACAGCGCCGTGATCCTGGGCAGTGCCGTGCACGGCCAAAGGTGGCTGCTGGACGCGCAGAAGTTCCTCGACGTCGAAGCCATGGGCCTCCAGATGAAGCCCACCTGGACCTTCAGCGTCGGCATGGCCTCTGCCGTGACCGGCTCGAAATGGATCCGAGACCGAGCCGTGCGCCACGAGTCCCGCCACATCGAGGAGATCGTCATGAGGAAGCTGCCCAAGGTCCGGGATCACCATTTGTTCGCGGGTAAGGACGACGGCTCAGACACACCCGCCCCCATCCGATGTCTCTGGAGTTGCGTCGGTGGACGCTGGGGCGATTACCGCAACTGGGACGAGATTGACCATTGGGCAGATGTCATCGCGAAGGAGTTGAGATTGGAGGGTGTATAAACACGAGCCAAGCTGGAGAATAAGGCAATAAAGAGCTGGAACTCTGATATTTGGCTTGTTTTGATTGGCGGCAATTTGAACAGATCCTAGTCACCATTTGACAGTATTGTTTTGCATTGGATTTACCGGAGTTGCTTTGGAAGAACACTGCAGCGTTCAGTTAAGACACGATGCCGTGATGAGAATGATTGAATACCCCCCATGTACCAGGCAACTAGCCTCATGTTGGATCTTGTTGAATATCGGATAGTATTGGCAATAGCAAATACTTCGTCCTTCCCAAGACAACAATGTCTGTGCTGATTCTGGTCGTGACAACTGACAGGAAACTGCGAGTCTTGACCGCTTAGCAGCTCGGGTAACTCAAGTCACCATTGCGAGTGCATAACCTTTTCAAGTTTGCAACCCGGTCTCTTCCGGGTTGAATTGCAAAGACGGATCGGTCTTTGGAGGTGCCCTGGAAACCCGGGGCGACGAGGCTGATTGCACGAAGCCTGCAACCGCCTGCCTCGGCATGTAAAGCTGATCATTGTGATATCATGTTATTCCACCAGGGTCAGCACAACATCAAAGGCTACCAGATCATGATGAACTGAACCACATCTGTCGACTTAGATCCACCAGGCAGCTCGGGTCCCGTGCGCAGAAACTGAATGCCAGCCACCACCCAGAAGGGTTGTATTACCAAACCTGCTGTTTACCCGATCTGCGTTGGCCACATTTTCTGGTAGTCACCAATGCTGAGGAGGTTTTCCGGTCATTATGCGGCGAGTATGTAGAGGGGTGTCAGCTCTCCGAGAGCGTCGGGTCAGCCATGCGGCAATTTGCCTGAAAAGACCTAGCATAGTCGGCAGAGTGCGGATGAACCCTGTACTGATTCGGACCCTAGGTGATTCCTTTGCTGGCACATCGCCCGCTTCAGAGATTCCCATTGCTTGAACCGAAAAGGGTCCAGTTTGTCAGCCGACATGTATGTTAGATAAGCATACCTAGACAGATCCATAGTGTAGCCGTGGCCGTGGACGACGTCACACTTCTGCTTCTCATGAATGACCTCCATTGGGACACAGCAAGGCTGGTGGATGGCAATGAGTCGCACACCCGCGGAGCTCCAACATCGTCCGCGCTCCCTGCACTGAGGGTACTGATATAACTCACATAACGCTATACCTCGAGGATACAATTTCCACGCGCTTCAGAATAATACTCCGTGTCTAATCTCTAGGGAGGTCGGGCTTGTACGAACGTGCACTCACGATGGTTGCTGATGTTTGTATTGAAAAGGTAAGAAGACGAGTGCAGATCGAGGGAAGAATTTCCCACCTTTAGGCGTGCGATGTTTCGAAATTCTGTGTCTGACAGAAAAATTGTCTTGATGTCACCTTGAGTCATTGACCAATTTGACCAGATTTTTCTGCCAGACGAAACAAAGCCTTTCAGATCTTGTCACTTCTGTCTTCCTCAACTTTCCCTTGCGATTGACCTCTACCTTGGGAACGCCCTCAATACACCTTCAATTTTCGGGGTTGCATCTACATCGGAGCCCTACTCTCCGAGTTAATGGCTTGATCGCGTATCTGGCGGCTACGATGTTCAACATGAGCCGCAATTACCTTTCAGCCGCCGTGCGCAGCATTCATTGCCGAACGAAGCCTTTCTATCAGGTAGTGTCTCCTCATGTGCGCAAATGATATGCGGGCGAGGAAGCGGAATGATATCCCTTCAACGGTCACCCGTTAAGCCGATGCGGGGACTCTCGAGATGATTGCCAATGGCTGGGATGAGATTGCAAAGCGCATTGATCGAAAGAGAAGGGTTCACACAGCCGCGAGCACCTTCCAGGGGTGGCCTTTCTAACCCGAGAGTACATGGATACAGTACACATCAGCATCACCAACAAGTACAAGTACTTGCTGACAAGGTCCGTGTTTGGTGCTTGTGTTATGATCAGTCCACACTTGCATACACCTTGGCTTCAAACCCGCCCTGACCAGGAATTTTCCCCGAAGACGGCACATCATGGCCGTCCAATCGCAGTTGATTCCCTGCCTTGGATATCTCTGATCTGAAGAAAGCTTCCCTTGTTCTTCGAAAAGTTAGCCAGCGAGCGGCCACTAATACTCCAATGTTTTGAGTTACAACGTCTCTCCCTTGCTTGTAGCCTCGACATCTGATTGCTACATGGGGTCATAAAACATCAGACGATTCCTAATCTATATTCCCACCGTACCTCAGTTTCCTCCACATACTTTTGAGCGATGCCGATAAGAGGAGATCCACGGCGGATAGTTTGTGGGCAGTCCACAAAACCCTACCCAAGTCTCCGTGTTGATTTGCAAAGTCGGGTCCCACGGCACCAGCTTTACGAGACAGCGATTCGTTCTTCTCCAATTCCCGAGCATGCCTTGCCACATTATCTGGCCCTCCCCCGGGAATGTCTGTCCATTTTCACATGATTGATAAATACTTAAGACGACGGATTTGGTGGCCTTTCTTGTTTCTCACCGTCATTAAAACCGGCCGGCAATGCAGTGGTTTGGTTGGGCCTCCACGTACCAACTTGCGCAAGAGTCCAAGATGTGAAGGCGATGCCTAAACCATCCTTAGATCCAAAGTATCATCAAAGTACTTAGCATCGGATTGCGCTGCGGCGTCTTAATGCTCGGAAAAGGTGTTCCAGCAATACAATAATCAATCCATCAATCCTCCTTAACTGCGAGGCTTTGTCACCAGTAGCAACATGAACATGGACCAACAGACTGTCAAGTCGCGTCCGCGAGTCTCGCGGGCTTGTGAAAGATGTCGTGTCAAGAAGGCAAAAGTAAGTTGGATTCGTGTTCTTGATGCCATCTGTGTCGTCGAAGGCGGAAACCAATGGGAATTGGACTGACAAGACCGTCTCGATGGACAGTGCGATGGTGAGAAGCCTTGCCGGAGGTGCGATTTAGACAAAGCGCCCTGTTCGTATAAGATCCGAAGGAAGACCGAATCCTCCAGCACGAACCAACGGTGAGCAGTTGCAATTTCCTGGACGGCCCTCAGATCTCAGGAACGTGTCAAAGTTCTCTTGCTAATCGCCTCAAGATACACCAATCTCCTCCTTCAACATCAGGAGGCCTTAACGGCAGGTGTGGTGGAATTGTACAAGCGGCTTGTCCGAGGTCAGAGATGGGACGGCGCTCCCATCGAGGAGGTCAACGGCAGTCCCAGCGTACACAGCATCCTTGAACGAGTAGGAGTACTTGACCATGATGAAGATGCCAACCACTACAACCTCGACTCATGCTCAACCAAGAACAGATTGGAACCTGTCTCGCCTGTAGGGCCCATCAAAGCGTTTGCGCCAACTATTGCGCCGAAGCCCAAAAGACCGGTTCGAGCAGCAATGGGAAGGGAATCGACCAGCCACGCACCTGTCCCAGGCCTCCCTGAGCAGCGGAGTTGCTTTGGTCAGTCGCCAAAATCAGCCACGGCGACGACCATGAGCCGGACCTCGACCGCGTGTGGACAAGCAGCTTCCGCACTCGACACAGATGAAGTACCAGTACAGTCGACATACTTTCCACAACCGCCCTCACCGCTGACGCCGATGTCCAACTCACGAAGCAGTTCTCTAGCCCACTGCTCGAGGGTTCAGCTCAAGACGACCAGCACCACGACGACATCATGGGTTGACTCACCAGTGGATGAGTTTTACGACGAGCTATTCGGCACGCCGATACCCACGCCACGAACAGAAGTCCAGTCACGACAAGCACAACTACAGTCGGACCACCAAATTGAACCTCTCCCTCAACCTCAGCCTCAGGGCCAGACTCCGTACACAATGCCCCCCTCATTTGCCTCCCCCAACCTCAGCGCCGCGGAAGCCTACAATGCTGGCTATTTCTTCGACGCGACACTGGGCGGGGGAATGCCCATGTATGGATGGGACAGTGGGCCGGGCGGATCGGGCGGCATCGAGTACAACGCCTGGGATACAGGAGTGTATGTCTAAAGTTGTCAGGATCACCGCAGGAGGTGAACTGAATTGGATGATAACTTAATGCTTGGCTGTGATTCCATGTGTCTCCAAACCATGGAGTATAGGTATGTATATAACAAGAACGACGACGACGAGGAGGAGAAGGATGCATGGTGGTGCACCAGCTCTAGCTCCAAGGGTTCTTGCCTGCCCGTGGGGGGAGCATCGGGCCGCTCTGTTGTCTGTATTACTGGCAGTGGTTGACTAAAGGTGAGCGGGGCGGTTCTTTCTGGCCTCGGCCTCGGCATCCTCAGGTAGTGGGTATTAATATCAATATCAATCACTGCGTAGCGAAGAGAGGCTCAGAGGGAAACCTTTGCGATCAGGCTGAGAATCTTACGTGGTTCCCCGTAGAGCCTGAGTCATGGTAGAGTTGGGCCATAGCATTGCCCAGCCAAGAGAGACCCAGCTCGGTTAGGCGCTTCCCGTGAACCTGATGTAATGAGGGAGACGGACTTTCTTGTTCAGAGAGAGAGATAGTCCGCGCCTCCGTGAAAGCAAAACAAAACAGAAACGGCTGCCGAGATAAAGTTGAGAAGGAGGAACACAATGAAAAGAGGGCACGCTATGGTCGATTGTGAGCCCAAGTGTGTAGGTAATTGGAAGGGCTTTGGTCTGTCCTAGAGACAGGACAGCCGCAACCATGGTCAAATGACCAGATGCTTCTTTCCCAGGAGCCTGATATGTCAAGCGGCCCTTGAGAATGTTCGGTTCGTTCTCTTCATGCCCAAAAACACATACCTCTAAACATAGCATTCTACTGCCCAGGCAGTCTTACAACCCCTTCCAGACAAAGGAGCCGGCCGTTTCCAAGTAGGTAGGACATTGAACATCCTCCTCTAGTATCACACTTGAACTTTCGTGGATGCATTAGACCATCAATGCCAAAATTATCAAGACGCCGTCTGCAATGCAACTAAATCATCCTGACATTTTCCTGGTTTTTCTTTCTAAGTGTTGTGAATTAGAAAGTTTCTGAAGTTATCCCAATAGTCCGAGTTGACATATCTGGCGAGCCATGTTAGCAATCATCCCGGATGGAGCAAGGATAATCCATTTAAAAAAAAACGTACATGTACTTCATGCTGCTCCTCAAGCTTGGCTGAATGCTCTCGGGCTGCCATCTGAAGATGTACATGACAAAGGCCCAGCTCAAACTAGCGAACACGGGCCAGGCATTGTTCTGAATCTTTGCCTTTAGCTCCGGCGATAATCTTTGAGTCCAGAGTGTCGGGGTGGGAGTGGCACTCGTGGCGCTTGGTGGTTCAATGCTGAGCCTCGCGAGGGCGAGAATTACTCGAGCAAAGACGTAGATGACGATTTGTTGGTTGACACTATGCGGAGAGAGACAAAAGTTTAGCCTGCCAAAGCCTGCCAGCCTCCTGCTATTGCAGTTGCAATCCTTACCTGCCCTGTTTCCCTCGTCCAAAGACAACATAGCCACCGAGGAGGCCCGCAAAAAAGGTGTCATACGGTCCCTCTTTTCCCGGATTCATGGGGTTCAGCAGCCTTAATATTAACATGGACGACTTGTACACGGTTGCGAAGAATGCGAGGTTTCGCGCATGTTGTCTCGTTGCCCTTAAAACAAGCCGGATCTTTTCTCGGATCGTGCCTGAGCGAAACAGGAAGACCATGACCAGAGCATGAGGGAATCGGACTTTGGCACCGTAGACGGCGCCATTACGGGCGGCTTTGACGATGGCCAGAAGAGGAGCGAGGTCGGGGTTGAGGATGATGGACTCGACCGTTTCCTGGTGGATGTCAGTTGAGACTTGGTAGAAGTGGTAGCGCATCCAAGACCGACCTTCAGCGCATCCATCCTGCACCCTCGACGACAACCGTTTGCTGAAGGAAGGCGAATGTTCTCTCGGTATAGCAAAGCAGCGCCAGGGCGGTAGGGAGGGACGAGGTCAAGGGAGGGTTAGAATACAGCGGGCGAGGCGATGGCAGCCAAGGTCATGGGCATTGAGCACTGAGCAGCGTGGCTGGAAGTGAGCAATTGGCATGTGTCAATTCTGGCTCAATTGGGTACCAGGTCAAGAGAGCAGGGGGCAATAAGAGGCACAGAGAGAGTCTTGAGAGTCCTCGGCGAACGAGGAATACGACGACATCATCTTCTTAGTATTCAATTGATCGGTGCATGTGAACCGCGGGCGGGTCAGCGAAGGGCAAGTTGGGCAAGTCACTCCCCACACAGTCCGACTATTTGTTCAACCGCCGCGCTGAGCCTCGGCTGTCTTGATTTTGGATTTCGCCGTGTGGCTGCCCCGATGCCATTTCCCGACAACCTTCGTAAAGTACTCGGTAGTAATATCAAAACAACGTCCACGGCCAAATCTCGCCCACCGTGACAATAGACTATCTCCATACCAGCGAGGCCAAATCTTCCCTGACAGAAATCCCCCTACAGCTCCAGCTAGATGTCTAAACCCCTATCCTCTCACAACCAGCATGCCCTGCCTGCACAATAGACACTCCATTAAGGGCGGGCATTCATATTCTGCCCTGTTCGGTTGTTGGAGCAAGAACGACGCCAAAGATCTTTGCTCCGCATGCATATCGCATAAAGAGGCTTGACAGACACAAGCTTAAACATCACCCTCACTAGATTTGATATGTGATGTTCTCCCTCGAGCATATGTGGTAGCTGAAACGAGGCGAGTCCCGGTTTTGCTGTCAGCACTCCGCAGTCATGAGCCATCTACAGTGACTCTGAAGGATTGGTTGTGAAGGACTGATATCTTTCTGTGGCTTTGAGATGTCAAGTCCTCGAGTCCAACTCCACATCAAGAGATCCGCCGTCGTTTCGGTTTCTCATTGTCGTCGTCGTCCGCATCGTCCATTTCCTCGTCGTCATCCTCTCCGATACTAATCTCATCCCCGCTGCCTAGACCAGTGCTGCCTTCTTCCGACGTATCGTCCACGTCCATGCCGCCGTTCTCCATGTCTTCGTCTTGACTGATGATATCTTGCTCTTTATCCAAGTCCGCCATCTCTTCTTCATCATCGTCGAGCTCGCCACGGTTTCTTTTCAGCCCTTTCATTTTCCGTGTCTGCAGATTTGAGAGATCCTGTTTTCCAAGATGCACGCGGCCAATCTTGTCACCCACCAGATCTGTCTCAATATTCTTCTTTGTCCGTTGTTCATTTGGCCGACGGCCATGTTTTAAAGCATCCCTCATCACGGCCGCATCCGCTTCACGGAATCGATCAACTCGGAAATCGAAGCTGTGTCCAATTGGCTCAAGCTCGACCCGTGGGATTTTGGGGCTGTTGGATCTCATAGTTCGTATCCGATACCATCTGAGGTGAAGGACGGGCTTGTTCGCCGGGTCGTTCAAGTCTCCCGAGGAACTGGAATTTTCACCGGTGGCGATCATCAGGAGATACTGTAGACCTGCCACGTCAATTGAAGATATCTCTTCACCCTGAAACAGATCCAGCATTATAGACCTGAGGGATTGGTAGAGTGTAGCCTGCGCCGATGAAGAGGTGTCATCCCACTGCGATCCCGCGAACAGGATCAAAGGCTTCATTCCGACTCCAATCTGCAATTTTAGGTCTGACTGTGGCTCGTCCGCAGGCACAAGAAGCAGCAGCTCAACCATATCGAGAAGTTTGCCGTCGTATATCCGCAGGACTGTGACATTGTTCGGTCTCTTTTTGGAATGAGTGCCAAAGACCACCACCCCACATTCGTTCTTCCCTGCCAGAAATTCTAGGGACTCGGGGTTCTCGAAGGGGTGGATGTTGTCGTTCTTCTTGGTGAGCATGACAGAATCCGGTTTGGTCAGCGTATGCACAGTCTTCAGCACGTTGGAGAGAGGCTGCGGGCATTTCGTCCCATGCAGGAGTAAGACCCGTTTCCTGGATTCCACCTGTTGAGGCTCGCGTGCCTTGACGATGCGAGCCGTCCGAGCATTTCGCGGTTTTCTGTGAATTGTCAGTCTGCTTCGTTTAGCGGTAGCTCTCAGGAACTTACATTTCGCGCAACATGGTGAACTCTTGCACCGAGACTAGATATGCGTGCCAAATACGCTCCCAAGTATGAGACGAAGAGCCCACAAAAACTTGGTGGACCGCCGAGCCGCTCGCACTGTTGCGACACAAAAATTTCCCGGGCGCAGGCGAGAAAGGCTTATCGATAAAGAACGGTGAAGCATAGACACGTTGTAGCATCTTCCATAGCTCAGTCTGCTGCCCTCGGCATCGGCCATTGTACAGAGTAGAAGCTCTTGTCCACCACAACAACATATGCTCTTTGGGGAACTTTGGGGCGGCGTCTATGATAGCATTGAGTATATTAAGAGGGAACAGGCACCAAACGGCCCGAATATTGACGCCGCAAAGGTCCGGCCCTCCGTCGAACGGCTCTAAGAGTTTCGAGAGGCACACGTGTGAAATGGGAAGCAGAAGGAATAAAAACAGATTGGACACCAGGAAGCAAAAGCCTAGGCTGGTTTACAGATTCTGTGGCTTACGATCAGCTTCTTCTGGTCGGGAGATGTTCCCACTTCAGCTACCATCTATAAGGCTCTACACCCCCAGCGGACTGTTCTATACAGACGGCCTTTGCAGAACTAAATTGCTCTGCACATAGCTCATCGTGGGAGGCCCCTGGTATGTTCCTTCTTCCGGTAACCGCAAGAGACCAATAGATGACCAGAACATTGACATTAGCGCAAGCACAATTGTCAGTGGAACGGCAGCGCCTTGCATATCATCCGGGTGTCTGCTCTGCCACCATCCCCAGAAGCCGAAAGGGCCGACTACCATCAGGAGATGATAAGCAAGCATGTGGACAAAGGATGCCTTGTACCGTGACTCGAGGCCCCAAGCTTCGCTGTAGGTAGCTCCCTTTACGTCCCAAAAATTCCTCTTTTTCGGCAACCTCTCGTACATTCTTTGCTGGGTCAAGGGTCCTATACATTCGTGCCAGGGCCAGAACCAAAGGTGGCAAGGTGTGGCACACGGATATAAAGAATCCTCGAATTCCTCCTGCGAAATCGGCGGCCTCTCGATGGGCGGCGTTTGGGAGCCGCTCTTATATTCGTAATCCGGATTATGTTCCGGAACACCGTCCTGAATTGAGCTGATCCTTTCGGCGCGGTATTTGAGAAACTATGAGAGTGTCCGTGAGTAAACTACTTCAGAACGGGTTGGGAAGCAAAAACCTTTCTGAAACTGCAGAACCTGAATTGATACACTGAAAACCATAGTCTCAACCAACCACGCTTGGACTGATATGCATTTGTGATTTGAGCGACGAGTTGACCATCATTCTCGATTCTATTCTTCTTGAAATCAATCTGGCTGATGTCTAAACATCGCTTCTTTCCTTTTACTCCAAGCACGAGGAGCAAGTCGTTACTACTAACTCCAATCTGCACTGCGTGCTGCTGTAGCCGGTTACCAAATAAAGTTGCATTTCGATCTCGGCCGGTGGGCATTGTTGGTGTTGAATTTCGGGCCGAGGATCCACTTGCGCCAGGAATCTTCCCTGTGCTGGATGCTTGATTCATTGATGTCGTGGACGAGGTCTGAGCCTGTGCCGCATGATTCCGTGCTGAGGAGGTTGAACTGAGGTCAGGCCCTGACACATCTGGTAGAAAGGTCGAACTTCTGGGCCGTAAAAACTGGCGCCAGCTCCGTCTCCCTTTTTCACGGCCTTTGCAAAGGTGATCATCACTTAACGGTGACACCCGCAAGTCAATGAGCTTCGACAATTTCTCCGCTTCTGCCTTTGGAACATCAGTCGCATGTGATCTCCCGCAATGCTGTGAATTGTCAGCAATTGGAACGGAACAATTGGGAGCAACCTACACATTTCCAGGATATGCGGCAATGATCAGTAGGAAGAGGTTCCTGGGCCGGAGGCAGAGGCCACCAATCCCATTCCACTTTTGATGCTTTTGCGATGCGAAGCCTCAATTTGTCGGGCCAACTTTGTTGAATAATGGAATAAAAGCTGATGCTCTCTTTTGGTAGAGTCATCAGAGTGCGACGCAGGCTGTAATAACGCGGAGTGACTGCCTGCATCTGAATTCGCTCGAGTAGTTTTTTAAAAGGAGTGCCCCTGAAGATGAAGTGCTCCATGCGCTTCACATAATCCAGCTCGCTAAAAGCCTCAAGCAGATCGTCGGGACTGTCGTTGGGGCGGTCTTCAGGTGTATCCTGCTGCATATCCGCCGGAAGAACGCCGCCTTCGTTGGGATCGCTAAAACCCTGGTTGCCGCGAATCCATTCTTCAAGGTCAAGCAAGGACTCCCTGGTGCGCACGTCCCCTTCATCATCGTCTTGCTCCTCCTCTTCGTCTTCAGCCGACCCGGTTAATTTGCAGGCCATCCTCTTCGCTATTCTTTCTCTGTACCAATGACCCCGGAGAAGGCTAGCACTAGCATTCTCTAGCCTTGTGCATGCCTGAGCTCTTAAATCGATTTGATAATATTTGAGATGCTCTCGGATATCAGCACAAAGGTCTTGAACATTAGGCCGCTGTGAAATTTGACGGAATGCGGTCAGGAGTTCGTCGTTGCTCAACAAACATGCTTCGAGGTGTTTCTCTGCTGTGAGGACTGGAGGCAATTTGGTAACCCCTATGCGCGAGCCTATGTCTTCGTCATTCGGGGTCATTCGCTGTAATATATCCGGGTCAACAGCCGTGCTTTCCAGATAATTGCTTCCCCGGCTGATACGGACATCTGCATCGGTACTGAAATGGCTGGGGGCCCGCAAAGAGATGGTGTTCTCGCGTCCTCTGTCGGAATCAAGGGCCTCTTTACGCGTTTGCCCATCTTCATCGAAGTCACCGCCAGTCCCATATCCAGAGTCTGAATGCACTGCCATCTGTTTCAGGTGTGGGGAGTCACCCGGCAAAGCAGCATCCAATACTTGCTCAACCTCCAGTTTTTGATGTCGGTGGTGAGATAGTTCGCGACGCGAATTGGCTAAAGAACTCTGTAACTCCACTTTAAGTTTGCGACGAAATTCCGCAGACACCTCGCGCAGCAATGCGAGACTAACCACCATCGATTGTCCGGCTCTTGTCTGGTCAAGTTCCTTCCCTTCATCAACCATTTCCTTTTGAATCTGGAGATATGTGCCTGGTTCATGCCCCGTCCTAATGCTAAGAAGATGTCGGACAATCTGCCTAGCTGTTGCCGTCCCGTTCGTATGCCTGAAAATTCTGGACCCGTTTATGGACACGGACTCGAATAGCTGGGAATCTTCAAGTTCTTGCTGGCGCGTGTCCTCCCCCGTTGCATCCACCTTGTCCCGGAAATTGGTCACAAGAATAACCCTTCGCAGTGCCTGTTCTCCACAGAGCTCGATGAGCAAGTACAGATCATCGATTCTCTTTGGCCTCGATATACCGCGGGGGCTGGAATTGAGGTACAAAATACCGGTTACTTGGATTCCCTCGAGGCAGGCGCGTTTCAACCAGCCAGCAATATCGCGGAGGATTTCGACATCAGAGTGCAACGCTTTGGTGAAGCCCGGAGTGTCGATGATCCAGAAAGTCTCGAATTCAGGATCCCAACATTTATAGGTCTTCACTCTCTCTGTCCCTGCAACATTGATCAGTTTTCTTTGCAATCAGCAACTACACACAACATCATGCACTTACGTGAGTTTAGAGGTGAGGTCCTCTTGACAGATCGATCAAACTGGAATTGATTTATGAACCTCGACTGCCCTGACCCTGTCAATCCCATAACTAAAATTACCACATCGCCCGGCCTGGAGAGCCACGTTAACGGGGAAGGGGTACTTCGTGAGCGTTTGAGCCAACCTTGGCAATTCATAAGTCTCAGTAGCCATCGTCCTCAACCCCAGTACTCGTTCTCGTAATAACTGACAAGTATCCCTTCTAGAGGGAATGATACCTATCTGGTTGCCGCGTCATTCGACTTGGAGAAAAAAAGGGGGAAAGCCGGATACGGCTGGAAATGAACGAATCTGCTCTCCTTGCTCAATTCACAACCGTCGACGTCTGGACCTCGAGCCTAGTGAGCCTGATCTAGTACTCGAGGTTAGCTGAGGATGTGAAGTTCCAACACAAGATTCACCGGCCAGTGTGTGACTGCATCGAACTGGCTTTCTTCACGGCTCAAGCAGTTGGGGGAGGGGGGTCGGTTGCCTTGCGGCTGAGGCTGCGCAAGTTGGTATCTCCGACTTCGATTCTGCTGTGAACATTCGGTTGAGGCTGAGGACCAGCGGACTTTCACGCCATGCTGAACAACGCATAAGGCTATCTCGTATCCCACCTCAATTAAAGCAGTGCAGTTTGCGGAGACAACATTAGTGCAAGGGTTGAATACATGCGCGAGATGGTTCTTGGTGGTTGTGATGGTTTTGGACGGTTTCAGCGCTTTGGCGTGACTCTACCGGCACTCCGCCGTACTGCGTTGGCGAGTCGTCTTGCCTCACCGAATCCCCCTCTATCCCTCCTTGCCTTGCCTTGCCCCAACCATCGCCCAGGTTCACATCAACTCTCTTCGATACTTGTCATGCAGTACTCTGTGTGCGAATACGCCCTAGGCTTCCCGTCGACTTTCCTCCGGCCAACATGTCGGGATGAAATTTTCACCATATGAAGCTGCAATGGTACATGTAGTATTTCTAAAAATCTAGAGAGAGCATGAGTACGATCCATTCTTGAAGAAGGCCTGCGAAGTTTGCTCTTGCCACTTTCGTTGTCTGTCTGTGACTTTTCGAATAATACCGGGGAGTCGACTATGAGCACCATCCCCGGTCTTTGATATCAAACAGTGCACATGGCGGAACCTATATCTGAATCTTCGTTGGTAAAGAGCAAGGCAACAGCGGATCCTGACTGGGATTACATGTTGACAGGGTTGCAAGATAGCCACTGTGGCAAACCACCTGAGGCGCTGCTGTCACACCAACTGCAGCACCTACCTCAACATTGTTATTCTCATCGACCTGCGACAACAGGGTAACAGAATAGGAGGTTTCAGGAATGGCCTTCAGATTACAGGCCAAAGTGTATATAAACAGGCAGAGTCTCTCTGAACAGGCAGGGGGACGAGACACAATCAAGCAGATAGATCCACTCTCCCTCTGTGTTCAACATTATAGACACTCCAGCAATTATTTGTTTCCAAGGGAGCTCCATTCACGGGGCAATTTCTCAGTATCGCAATCTCACTTCTGATCGCAGAAGAATTGTCCGCCACTTGCTGCCACTACTTGCTGCCACTGGTGATTGGACTCATGGTCCAAACTCATGAAGCCCAAGTTCCTGGCAAATTGTGACGCCTTATCACAACTCTCTGTGACTGAGGACTCTGGCTCGACGGACAAGAAGGGTTTCTAAGCAAGACAACTCAACTACGTTAATGAGTGCGATTATCGAGAGCAACGTCGGGTATGTCATCCGTGATCTCTTGGATAATGCAATAGTGGCAATAATGGGCCGTCTTGAGGAGACTTCTTGACGGAACGATGAAACCTGAGCACCTCATTCGTCAAGGTGTCTCGAGAGAACGATAACATGCTAGGATAGGATTGACAGAACAATGTAGCTCAAGGCACAAACGTTGGCCCGACAGGGTATTATGTCTGAAATGGCAATATGGCCCTATCCACTCTCTATGAACCTATCTGCGGAGAGGAACCCTAAGTAAAGTAGAGCAGCTGTCACTTGGTTGTGAACGAGATAGGGGGTTGGTAGCCTTATGTCGGATAAATGTTTGTCCGAGACCTTGGTAGACCATTTTTTCCCCTATGCTTTCCCTCCCAACAATTCTTCAACTGGAGTGAACGATGGGGTAACCATCCCCTTGTATCCCCTTCATATCCGTCATAACCTGCGTATCAATAATCCCGTAGCGCCCATATTCAAGACGGTCTTACGGCGGATAATGGGTTATGCTCAGGATCTCCTCTCGGCAATCGTCTACACTCTCCGGACGATTCTGACAGTTTCACACGCCAATAAACAGTCAAGAGCCGACGCCTGCAAGCTAAGTATAGTTTCTAATATTTTCAGGCCAACGATGGCGGCCTGGCACCGACTTTGTGCGCCTTGTCTTTGCTCGTTGACGCTTATACTGCGAGCCGCGTTATATGTAAGGCCCGTGCTTAGTAGAGAAACCAAGCTGATAAAAAAGTCTGATATGTCACTAGGGCCAGATGTTCGAAAATGGCACGGCACATAGGTAATAACGAGTGTATCCGGTGAAGAAATTGGTTGGATGACTTGACTCCTCCATTCAGTTGGGCCCTTGCGGCTACCTCACAAAAAACCCTGCACATCACAAGAACACCTGCAAACCGAAGAGGCTCTAGAGACTTCTTCGGAAGGCTGCCTGTGGACTCAATGCTATATATACACACTTAAACCTTCCCTGTCTGTTGATGATTATAGTGGGCACGTTGTTGCTTCAACCAAAGCACTGAATCCTTTCCACGACGGTCGAATAAAGGACACCAACAACATGCGCCAGCCTGGTATATTTGGGCAGCTGTGTTGGGACACCTACACCTTGGTGGTGCTCGGGTTTCGCACAGCAGCCGACTCGACACCAGAGTCGGTCACAAGAGCCGTCGACCAAGCAGCCCTGAAGCTCGTCGCCGCCTATCCCTTTCTCGCAGGCCAAGTGATCAACGAGGGACGATCAAGCACGAGTTCAGGAATCTACAGAATTGTACCGTATCCTCCACACTCAGATGGCAAATCACCCGTCCGAATGAAAGATTGCACTCAGCTGTGTCCATCGTATGACGAGATCGTTCGAGCGCACGCCCCCTTTTCAATGCTCGATGGCAACGTCATTTGCCCGATGAGGGGAATGGGATATGCGTATGATCAAACGGTGGAGCAACCGGTGCTCATTATTCAAGCGAATTTCATCCGTGGTGGACTGTTGCTTTGCTTCGCTTCTATGCATAATGCACTTGACATGAACGGGCAGGGTATTCTGATCAGACAATTTGCAGCAGCAATGAAGGGTGAGGATTTTGATCACCGGCTTGTGGCGGCTGGGAATCAGGATGCCGACAGTATCGTGCCACTGCTGAAGGAAGGAGAAATAGCACTTACGCATGATGAGATGCGGGTACCCCCCAACCAGGTCCCAACCGCCAGCCCAGTTCCTGCACCTCCCCTTCAAGAACAACCGATCGAGACTGCCTCTTGGACTTATTGGCGCTTTCCCCAGGACAAAATCGCCGAACTCAAGAAGCTCGCCATGTCAACCTCGACCAAGCAGGTCTCCACCAACGACGCACTCACTGCCTTCTACACCCAACGCCTCACCGCCGTGCGTATCGCCGTCGGCCGGGTATCCCGAGACGAGTCAATCCGCTGTCTCCGTGCCGCTGACGCACGAGCGAGACTGAACCCTCCTGTACCTAAGGGATACCTGGGCCATCTCGTGGGACTCGCATATACAGAATGGCCAGCAGCCAGCACCGTCGTCGAGTTTCCCCTCTCCACAGTCGCAAGCGACATCCGCGAGTCTTTGCAAAAAGTAGACGATCATTATTTCCGCAGCTTGGCGACCCTAATCTCCCACACCCAGGATAAAAAGACAATCTCCTACGGTGCCCGGAAAAAGCTGGCCAAGGATATCTTCATCTCTTCGTGGGCGAAGATGGATCTCGCCGATACCTGTGACTTTGGCCAGGTTTTGGGCGGGAAGCCGGATTTCGTGCGACGTCCGAGGTTGGACGAACTGCCTGATCTGTCGTACATTATGCCGAAGGATAAGGAGGGAGATATGGCTCTTGGAGCGTGTCTGTTCAAGGCGGACATTGAGGGGTTGGAGAGCGATGAGGAGTGGAAGAGGTTTGCGCGATATGTAGGCTGAGCTGGCAGGAGAGTCTCATTCTGTGCGGCGGACGGGAGGAGAAGCAGTGAAGGCCTAGAACATGCTTTGGGTTTTGTGGTTGGTGAGGCCAAGTGAGGCTTACCAGCTTTATAGGGCGGTATCCTCTCATCTCCCAAGACGAGCCTGGGTAGGTTTCCCGATCTGACCAGCGTAACCAACCGTTTGGGCTCGCTGCTGACTCCACACTCGTCCTTCATTCATCCACCCACAATTCCACAGCCGCTATCCCCAGTTTCTTACTATTGAAATTTGTCTACCTACCTCGCCTTCTTTTTACCTTTCCGTCTCGATCCGGCCGGGGCGGCCCCAATCAGTTAGCCTTGGCTACATGTAGTCTAGCAAGACGATGTTTTACTCTGGAAGGCAGGCCTGTTCCCCAAACGGGCCTCTGATCAGAAAGTTCATGCCACAGCAGAGCAGATAGTGCTTATCGCTAAGCCGCGCTTTAGACCCAATTCGGGTCATGCCTGGCTCTCGAGTACATATGTACATAGGGCCAGTCGGGCGGCGCCTGCCTGAGACCGGTTACTCCAGGTTCCTAGGCTAGGTACACATGTATGAGCATGTGGAGGTTGTAATGCAGGGCTGAGCACACGAGGAGGACAGCAGAACACTGCATAGGAGAGCATCTGTTCTGGAAAGCACGCCGCGTTTGAGTTCTACTATAACTGGCTTGGACTGGAATCATCAGTGGCATAGGCGGAATGATAACGGAAGACGTGCGTGGCGGGAAAAGACGTGATTCTCATGTCAAGCAACGTCCCAGTCCGAGATCTCTTTCGAAGGACACACTTCGATTGTGTGTCGTGGACCCATGGTGTCGACACCGTGACGAGGTTGGAAGCGGGGGTCAACTTCTCTCAAACTGAACAGCTTAAACGAGATGATTTAAGGTGGTTGTGGCTGTCTGAGAACCTCAACGACGTCTCCAGACAGTGGCAAGACGGTAGGTTGCAGGGAAGC